CAGTGAGACATGTAATCCTCACACTTTATTAACACTATGCACCACCCCTTGAGTAACTAGCGTACAGACGCCAATAGGTGGCAGTAAATAGCAGTATACTGCACACTAACAAAAATAACTGCAGATGGCCTGTTTATGTACTCTAAACAATGTTTGGAGATAGTGAGGTGCATTTCTTCCCATGAGAAAATCCTAACAATTCTTTGATAGAACTTATGTTACCTTTGGATTATAATATGGCTTCAGACCTCTCAATGTATTCAGGAATGAGAAAGGGAGTGGGAAACAATTCTAAGAAGTCCAAGCAAAAGAAGGAAAGTTGAAACTCTGGGAAGTGATTGGTTGAGTTTAATTTCTATCTGCATTTCTGGTATAGCAGAAGGAAAACTAAAAAACCTTTGTCTTGAAGAGATGCATCAGGGAGATGCAGCTCCTTCGGCTGCTTGGAGGAGCATCACCTGTTACATGTCTGCCTGTACACATCCCTCCCAGCAGCATGCTCAAGTGGGAAGAACAAACAATTCATGAGCAAGAAGCTCACTTGTAAAACCACAATGAAGACAACATCTTCATCAAATTGTACGGCCCAGAATATGACATGCCCCAAATAAATGTAAAGTTAAGAAAAAGGATTTTTCTCTTATTGACGAGCAACAACGTTGGCCACCTTCAAATTACAGTACCTTCAAAAATCCACAGGTTATAATTAAAATGGCACATACCCATTGCTTTTGTTTCTATTGGTAAATTCATCTCTCTGGGGCTGCCAGTTGTGAAGGTCAGACTCAAAAAACATTCCTTCCCTAGTCAGTATACACAAATAGAAAATTCATAGATTTAACCACCTATAGCTAGAATTTACATGGATTCTCATCCAAATGGGTCTGTGTGTTGGAAATTAGGTGACTGCTCCTCCTGAAGCTCTTTCCACACTCCATTCATTTATCTGGCTTCTCTCCTCCGTGGATAGACCCATGTGATATCAGGGAATGGCTCTTAGTAAAACTTTTTCCGCACTCTATGCACTTATATGGCTTCACTCCTGAGTGTATCTTTTTATGGGAAGTAAGCTTACTGTGTTGCCTGAAGCCCTTCCCAAACTCCATGCATTTGTACAGCTTCTCCCCTGTGTGGATCCTTTGATGAACAGTAAGAGACCTGTTTTGACAGAAGCTCTTTCCACACTCCATGCATTTGTACAGCTTCTCTCCTGTATGGATACTTCTATGAGATCTGAGGGAACAGCTGTTAGTGAAACTTTTCCCACACTCCATGCATTTCTACGGCTTCTCCCCTGTGTGGATCCTTTGATGAACAGTAAGAGACCTGTTTTGACAGAAGCTCTTTCCACACTCCATGCATTTGTACAGCTTCTCTCCTGTATGGATACTTCTATGAGATCTGAGGGAACAGCTGTTAGTGAAACTTTTCCCACACTCCATGCATTTCTACGGCTTCTCCCCTGTGTGGATCCTTTGATGAACAGTAAGAGACCTGTTTTCACGGAAGCTCTTTCCACACTCCATGCATTTGTACAGCTTCTCTCCTGTATGGATACTTCTATGAGATCTGAGGGAACAGCTGTTAGTGAAACTTTTCCCACACTCCATGCATTTCTACGGCTTCTCCCCTGTGTGGATCCTTTGATGAACAGTAAGAGACCTGTTTTCACGGAAGCTCTTTCCACACTCCATGCATTTATATGGCTTGTCTCTTGTATGGACCCGTCTATGGGAACTTAGGTTACTGTGTTGCCTGAAGGCCTTCCCACACTCCATGCATTTATACGGCTTCTCCCCTGTGTGGATCCTTTGATGAACAGTAAGAGACCTGTTTTCACGGAAGCTCTTTCCACACTCCATGCATTTATATGGCTTGTCTCTTGTATGGACCCGTCTATGGGAACTTAGGTTACTGTGTTGCCTGAAGGCCTTCCCACACTCCATGCATTTATACGGCTTCTCCCCTGTGTGGATCCTTTGGTGAACAGTAAGATATCTATTTGCAGAGAAGCTATTTCCACACTCCATGCATTTATGTGGCTTCTCTCCTGAGTGGATCCTTCGATGAACAGTAAGAGAACTCTTTTGACAGAAGCTCTTTCCACACTCCATGCATTTGTATGGCTTCTCCCCTGTGTGGATCCTTTTATGAAGAGTAAGACACAAGTTTCCACGGAAGCTCTTTCCACACTCCATGCATTTATGTGGCTTCTCCCCTGTGTGGATCCTTTGGTGAACAGTAAGATGACTATTTACATAGAAGCTCTTTCCACACTCCATGCATTTATGTGGCTTCTCTCCTGCATGGATCCTTTGGTGAACAGTAAGATAACTATAGGTAGAGAAGCTCTTTCCACACTCCATGCATTTAGACAGCTTCTCTCCTGTGTGGATTCTTTGGTGAACAGTAAGATAACTATTTGCAGAGAATCTCTTTCCACACTCCATGCATTTATATGGCTTCTCTCCTGTGTGGATACATCCATGAGAGGTGAGGGAATGGCTCTTAGTAAAACTTTTTCCACACTCTATGCACTTATATGGCTTCTCTCCTGTGTGGATCCTTTTATGGGAAGTCAACTTACTATGTTGCCTGAAGCCCTTCCCACACTCCATGCATTTATATGGGTTCTCCCCTGTGTGGATCCTTTGATGAACAATAAGAGACAAGTTTCCATGGAAGCTCTTTCCACACTCCATGCATTTATATGGCTTCTCCCCTGTGTGGATCCTTTTATGAAGAGTAAGACACCTGTTTTCACGGAAGCTCTTTCCACACTCAATGCATTTATATGGCTTCTCCCCTGTGTGGATCCTTTGATGAACAGTAAGAGACAAGTTTCCATGGAAGCTCTTTCCACACTCCATGCATTTATATAGCTTGTCTCCAGTGTGGATCCTTCTATGACATGTGAGGGACCAGTTGTTAGTGAAACTTTTTCCACATTTGGTGCATTTATATGGCTTCTCCCCTGTGTGGATTCTTTGATGAACAGTAAGAGAACTGTTTTTACGGAAGCTCTTTCCACATTCCATGCATTTGTATGGCTTCTCTCCTGTGAGGATCCTTTTATGAGATGTAAGGGACCCATTTTCATGGGAAAGAGTGAAAATGCTATTGTAATTATTTCCATTGTCTCTGGATATATAATCTTTTTCTGTTTGAACTGGATAGTGTTCATTTATTTCTAATTTGTCTTTGAATAGGCCTACACTTTTCACAAC